CCTGCAGCGCCGGCACCCAGGGTTCTAGTCCCGGTTGGAGCACTGGATTCTGTCCCGGTTGCTCCTCTTCCAGTCTAGCTCTCTGCTGTGGCCCGGGAAGGCAGTGGAGGATGGCCCAAGTGCTTGGGCCCTGCACCTGCATGGGAGACCAGGTGGAAGCACCTGGCTCCTGGGTTTGGATCGGTGCAGCGTGCCGGCCATAGCAGCCATTTGGGGGGTGAACCAACGGAAGGAAGACCTTTCTCTCTGTCTCTCTCACTGTATATCTCTCTCACTGTCTAACTCTGCCTGTCAAAAAAAAAAAAAGGTAATCTATGAATGTGAAATTGACATTTCAAGATGCAATGATTTGAATAGCCCTTGTCTCGATTGTTGAGGAACAGGTTTTTTTTTTTTAAATTTTCTTCATCATATTATTTGTTGAACTCTTAGTGTAGGGTTATTCTTATGAGTATAAAGTTAGTTGAAAATAGTTCTTTGTCAAAAATAAGAATGAGAATAGGAGAGAGAGAGGAAGAAGAAAGGTGGGAGTGCTGGCAGGAGGGAGGGTAGGGTGAGAAGAATCAATGTGTTCCTAAAATGGTATATATGAAATGCGTCAAGTTTGTATACTTTAAATAAGTTTCTAGTTTAAAAAAAACAAACACACAAGCAAACAAAAACAAAAGGCCAGCACTGTGGCATAGTGGGCTAAGCCTCTGCCTGAGGTGCCAGCATCTTATATGGGCATCAGTTCAAGTCCTGGCTGCTCCTCTTCCTATCTAGCTCTGTACTTATAGCCTGGGGAAGCAGCAGAAGATGGCCCAAGTGCTTGGGCCCCTGTACCCGAGTGGGAGACCTGGAAGAACTTCCTGGCTCCTGGTTTCGGGTCAGTGCAGCTCTGACCATTGCAGCCATTTGGGCAGGGAACCAGCAGATGGAAGACCTTTCTATCTGTCTCTTCATCTTTCTATCTGTAACTCTATCTCTCAAATAACTAACTAAATAAATGCTTTAAAAACAAAAGAAAATGAAAAAAGAGATGGTCCGTGGGTTGTCTTGGATTCTGTCCAGGATGGCTGCCTAAATGTGCAATCACAGCACAAAGCAGAGAGAAGCTAGATGTTCGCAGGATTCCCAGGTATTGAGGGAATAAATGTAAAGAGTCAGTTGAAATAGAAATGCATTTGCCCAGATCAAGACAACTGCAGGTGAGATCCCATGAGCACACTCTCCAGAGAACTCACCAAAGTACTTTATGAAAGTTGCCACCCCAGGACCAGCATTGTGGTGTAGCAGCCTTGCTACATTGGCATCCCACATGGGCAGTGGTTTGAGTCCTGGCTATTGTACTTCTTTTTTTTTTTTTTTAATTTTTTGACAGGCAGAGTGGACAGTGAGAGAGAGAGACAGAGAGAAAGGTCTTCCTTTGCCGTTGGTTCACCCTCCAATGGCCGCCGTGGCTTGCGTGCTGCGGCCAGCGCACCGCGCTGATCCGATGGCAGGAGCCAGGTACTTATCCTGGTCTCCGGTGGGGTGCAGGGCCCAAGTATTTGGGCCTTCCTCCACTGTACTCCCTGGCCACAGCAGAGAGCTGGCCTGGAAGAGGGGCAACCAGGACAGAATCCGGCGCCCCGACCGGGACTACAGCCCGGTGTGCAGGCGCAGCAAGGTGGAGGATTAGCCTAGTGAGCTGTGGCGCCGGCCTATTCTACTTCTGATGTAGCTCCCTTCTAATGGCCTGGCAAAGCTGTGGAGGATAGCTCAAGTGCTTGGGCACCTGCACCCATATGGGAGACCTGGAAGAAGCTCTTGGCTCCTGGCTTCGGCCTGTACCAGCCCTAACTGTTGTAGCCATTTGAGGAGTGAACCAGCAGATGGAGGATCTCTCTCTCGCTCTCTCCCTTTCTTTCTCTCACTCTTGGTCTTGCTCTCACTCTCTGTCCTCCTCTCTCTGTAACTCTACCTTTTGAAGTAAATAAAATAAATGCCACCCCTGTGGGAGATCCAGATTGAGTTTCTAGCTCCTGTCTTTAGCCCCTGCCATTGCAGGCATCTGGGGAGTGAACCAGCAGATGTGAGCTCTGTCTACTTCTGTCTCTGTTTCTCTACCTCTCAAATAAGTAAGATAAATAATAATAAATTAAAAATTTAAATAAGAAAATTACAATGATACTAGAAAATGCCACAGTAACACTGAATAAGAACTTTTCCTTTCGCCTTCTCTGACCTCTCAGAGATCAAATCCCTAACAGCTCCCTAATCACAGCAGCAACCTGGGGAAGTGGAATAGAAGAACTAGGCTATAGAGGAGAAGAAAAACTAGCCATATTCTCCTCTTTATATGGAAACTTCGTAGTGTAAGCCAGAAGAGGGGAAAACTTTTTTTTAAAAAAAGATTTATTTGTCTATTTGAAAGGCAGAGTTACAGAGAGGCAGAGGCAGAGAGCGAGAGAGAGGTCTTCCATCCACTTGTTCACACCCCAGTCAGCTGCAATGGCCAGAGCTGTGCTGATTCAAAGCCAGGAGCTTCTTCCAGGTCTCCCTTGTGAGTGCAGGGGCCTAAGGATGTGGGCCATCTTCTACTACTTTCCCAGGCCATAGCAGAGAACTGGGTCAGAAGTGGAGCCACTGGCACTCAAACCGGTGTCCATAGGGGATGCCGGCACTGCAGGCAGCGGCTTTACCCACTACGCCATAGCGCCAGCCCCAAAAAGCCTCAACTTAAAAACAACATTAAAGTTTTAATTGTAAATGGTCTTGGAAATTTAAATTCCTGATCAGACAAACCTATGTCATGAAAAAGTTACCAGAAGTATCAAAGGACCAACTAGATTTTCATCCAAAGAAATATAAAGGAATGTACAGGCACTTTTGAAAATTTCTTATATGTTAAACATACACTTGTCAAATAGCACCACCCTCCCACTCTTATTTATATAAGAGGAATGAAAATTTCTGTTCACTCAAAAACCCAATTACTTTATTCATAATTGTCAAGAACTGGAAACAAATGTCCCTCACCTAATGAGTGGTTAAACAAACATGATACAGACATACAATGGAATAATACTAGTAAGTAAATAAAAACATGAAAACATGGATGAATTTTATAGGAATTATGCTAAAATTAGATTTATATGCCATTCTGGAAAATGTAAGACTATACAGACAGAAAATAGGTTAGTGGCTGCCATGACATTTGTCAAAACTCAAAACTATACCCATTCCTTAAAAAAAAAAAATCTAGAAACAAACTTAAAAAATCTCCCAAAGCAGTCAAAGCTCCTGATTATGATTAAATAGTAAGAAAGGGGCTAAATAATAAACTGGAAACAGGGATTTTCCTTATTGTGTAGGTATTTTTTAAAAAGGATTTATTTATTTGTTTGAAAGGCAGAGTTAGGGAGGGAGGGAGGGAAGAAGGGAGAGAGAGAGAGCGAGCGAGCGAGAGTGCAAGAGCACTTCTATCCACTGGTTCATTCCCCAGATGGCTTCAATGGCCAGAGCTGGGCTGATCCTAAGCTAGGAACCAGGAGCCAGGAGCCAGGAACTTCTTCTGGGTCTCCCATGGGGGTGCAGGATCCCAAGAACTTGGGCCATCCTCCTCTGATTTCCCAGGCTTATTAGCAGGGAGCTGGATCAGAAGTGGGACAGCCATGACTTGAACCAGTGCCCATATGGGATGTTGGCATCACAGGTAGCAGCTTAACCTGCTATGCCACAACACCAGCCCCAGTCTATAGGAACTTCCTATGAGTAAGAAGTGGATGGTTAGGTCAGGAAACTGTCTACTGGTTGGGGGGAAAATTCCTTTCGAGGTCAGCATTGTGGTGCACTAGGTAAAGCTAGTTCTTTATTGGAGTACGAATTCAAGTCTGGGCTGATCTGCTCTGATACAGATTTCTGCTAATGCACATGGGAAAGCAGTGGAAAATTACACAAGTACTTGGGCCCCTGCCACCCATATGAGAGACCTGAATGGCATTAACGTCTCCTGGCTTTGGCTTGTCTCAGACCTGGCTGTTGCAGCCATATTGGAAGTGAACCAGTTGATACAACACCTCTCTCTGTTTCTCCCTTTCTTTATGTCCCTCTGCCTTTCAAATAAATAAAGCTTTTTTAAAAAGTTCTCTTTCTGATTAAACCGTGACTCATGCTTATTCAATTTAATGGTTATGTTTGGTTTGATAACTTTTTCAATAAACACATGTGCTCCTGGTATATGATTTTATATTATATACATTATGTGGTCATTTTTTGCTATTTTTATCATATTATAGAATTTTAAATGCCTTATTTCATGATGTCTGCCACCTGACCAAATTTGTAAGTTGATAGTACTTAATTTGGGACTGGGATTCACTAAAATACATTAAATTGCTCCTGTGAACTCTCAGAGGTTCAGTGTTCAATTTTCTAAGCTTTGGTTTAGGTCATTAAATAATTCTCTGTCCTCAAAGAGGTAATGCAACTCTAAAGCTCTTCACTTCTGAAACTTCTATTCGTTTAAGAACTGAGTTCAATAGAATTTGGGAATGTGGAGCCACCTGATCACCTTACCTGTTCTCTCCAAGTCTCGTCAGTACAGTCAGGAATATATCCCATAAGTTACCGCAGATTCTGCCTAGATATGACAACTGCTTTTAAGGTCATGTCACTGAGCCATAATGTGGACAGAGACATTCTACTCTGGTCTTCTTGGTTCTTCCAGTAGCTTCTCTAAGGGTGGAATTTGAAGTGGGCCTGTCTGGTGTCAGGTTAGAGTCCTAGAATTATGACGAGCTTTGTGTTTGCTTGTTTAGTATTATTCATAGGTGGCATCCTCAGGCCCTTGAAGAGAAAAACTAACAGACTAATGCTGTGTTTACCTGTATTATTTTCTGGCTAGTGAGTCTAACCTCACACCAAACACTTACTTTTGGCAAGTCCTTGGTGCTGCAAGAGAAAGTCAGGTTAGGGAAACAGTAGACATATGACTAGAGGTCTAGTTACCTGAGTGCTCCCAGTCTTTCACTTACCGTGTCTTAAGGGATGCAAGGGATTTCCTGTAGGTAGACTGGATATCTAACTGGAGCAGCCTCGGAATATCTGGAAACCCACCCAGCTGGGCCCAGAGCAAGCTCACTGGCGTCTTCTCTGTTATTGGGTAGCTTGAAGTGGACAGATCGGCATTCCAGATGGCCTTCAACTGGTCTTCTTGTTGTCTATAGAATCAGAGACACAGCTCTCCTGAGCTCCATAGCCAATCTAAATGTATGAATCTTGTTCTCTCCACATCTCTTACCCCAGCTGTCCTATAATACCCTCCCCCTTGCACTGACAAACATTAACTATGCCCACTTTCACAGAGGTGGCTGAAAAAGCAGACTTTACTGAAATGGTTAACAAAGCTGCATTTCTATGACTTCACCTAGAAATTCACAGTAAAACTGCCTTCTTAGCTTCATGGAGTATACAGACCATGCAGCCTTTCCCATTCCCTTCCCAAAGCTCCTGCAGGAATTAATGTTCTTTATTATACATTCTTAAAACAATTTGTTTCTTAGGAAAGAAGAATCAGTTTTTTTTTTAAAGAAAAGAGACTCACAACCAGTATATAAAACTGTTGATAAATTAGCTAAAAAACTTAGTACTCCTTTAGACTCCACTGCACTGTATCATCATTGTGGGGCAAATCTTGGACAGGAAAATAGGCCACAGGTCTCACATATCTTCTAAACAATGTTTAGTGTCAGTCTTTCTGCTACATACTTGATCTTCTTATCAGATAGTCTGTCCTTTTCTACTGGTAACTCTTGGATTGGCTGTTGAACGTATTTGGTAGAGACAGGGATCTGCTTTTTGTCAGTGATCAACGGGGTAGGTTGACTAAGATTCAATTTATACATCTCTCGGAGCTAAAAAAAATTTAAAAAGTACAATAAGAAACAGAATCTTTAAGAAGGTCTTCTGTACTTGCTCTTGTTGGAACTACAATCCCTCTTTCATAAATTTGCAAGTCCTCTTCCTCCTCCAACCCACCTCCAACCCACATCCAACATGTTTAATTTCAGAGGTGGCAGGTATGACATGTAAAAACCTTGGTCCTATTTAAGCTCCAGTCCTAGTTGTAGCTATGAGACTTTTGTTTAGTTGCTTAATTTATCTGCACCTGTTTAATCTTCATTTTAAAAAATGGGAATAATGACACAAGGTTGTTAACGTTGTATAAAACAACAACATACACAGAATATAAACTGTGAAGCACTATGCAAATGTAATAATACATAACATTTACTAAATACTTACTACATGCCAGACACTGAGATAAGCACCTTCCAGACACTGGCTCATTTCTGACTTATAACTAGCATTCAATGTAGGTGTTATTATCCTTGTCTTACATATGTTGGAACTGAGGCTCTGAAAACTTTAAGTGTTGGGGCAGGTGTTGTGATGCAGCAGATTAAGCTACTACTACTTGGAATACTCATTTCCCATATCAGAGTGCTGGAGATCAAGTCCATTTCTGCCTTAAAATCCAGCTTCCTGCTAATACACAAGGGAGGCAGCAGAGATGGCTCAAGTGCTTGAGTCCTTGCCAACCATGTGGGAGACCAGGCTAGAGCACCTGACCATGTTGAGGCTATGAAAACTTAAGGTGTCCAAGTATCTTAGCCAGCATGAGGTGAAAGTGATTGTTCCTAGTCTGGTAGCAGAGTATGTTAACCATCACCCTGATTCAGTGTAAGACGTTTATTCCTATCTGCCCTCTTATCCATTGTGCTTTTTCCTCTTCCTTCTTAATGTGTTGAAAACAATATATTCATAGTTTTGGGCCTGATGTTGTGGCATAGTGGGTAAAGCCTCCTCCTGTGAGGTTGGCATCTCATATGAGTGCCAATTCCTGTCCTGGCTACTTCACTTCCTATCCAGCTTCCTGCTAATGGCCTAAGAAAGCATCAGAAGATGGCCGAAATGTCTGAGCCCCTGCCACCCACATGGGAGACCTGGATGTAACTCCTGGCTCCTGGCGTCAGCCTGGCGCAGCCCTAGCCATCGTGGCAATCTGGAGAGTGAATCAGCGATGGAAGATCCCCCCCTCTAACTCTCCCCTTCAGAAATAAATAAATATTTTTGAAAAACCCAATGTATTCATATTCTTATTTCTGTATCCTCATCCTCTGAAATTACTGTATTACTCATCCTCTGAAATGGCCCAGACATTGTGATTCCTGTTAGATGGCTCATGTCACTGCCAACCCATCTTGCTTTGATCCATGTACATTGGCCATATTTGCAAAACCAAAACTGAGAAATGTTCTTTCTTTTTTCTTTTTAACAAAAAGCTATAATATCTTAAAGTAGCTTCTAGAAAATTCAGATTAAATGTTGGATTTGGTCAGGCTATGATGAGATGTTTCTCTGTACCTTCCAAAGTAACAAATGGACTGATCATATCAACTAATCACTGTTGATGAAAGGAAAGACTAGATACAAAACATTCTTAGACTATTTAGATACAAAACATTCTTAGAACTCCAACTTGTGTTATTTATAATTAGAACTTCTGTTTGCGCTAGGCATTCTTGAGTATGCAATCCAAGGGTAAAGAATTCTAATCTCAGCTCTACAATCTTTTGGAAGGTGACTGTCACTCCCTAAAGCATATTGCTGGTTGTCTGAGAAGGGGTTCTAGGTCATAATGAGTGGATGTCAGGGTTGAACAGAATCATCTGTGCCTGGTTCTGTAAAAACAAGTTATCTCCTTTCTTGTGAACTCGTGATAGTAAACTTAGCCTGCTGAGAGTTTTGAGGAGAAAGGTAGTCATGTGGAGTCAGGGAGGAGTGACTTAAGGAGGTTTCAGTGCTGGAGCCTGGTAGATGGGTGTTGACCAGGCAGGAGCTGAGCATTTCTGGAACTCTCTCTAGCCTAACATTTTTTCTTACCTAGATATCTAGTCGGTATTCCTCTTGTCAATATAGGAGGAGTGTCACTGGTCATGATGTAGCAGTAGGTTGAGTGGCGGCCCCCCGAAAGATATGTCCACCCAGAACCTGTGACTGTGTCTTTGGAAAATGGGTCTTTGCAAATGTAAGTTAAGAATCTCAAGATGAGATCATACTGGATTAACCAGGATGCCATTGGGTCCTATGTTTGATGGGCATGTGATCTCCTAAGAGACAGAAGACAGAACACATACTGAGAAAGAAGGCCGTTTGAAGGATGGAAGCAAAGATGGGAGTTAAGCAGATACAAACCAAGGAATGCCAAGGATTGCCAATGGCATTTCAGTCAGTGTAGGAGAGATTTCTCCGTGAGAACCTGCAGGTGGAACCAGCCCTGCAGCTCCTTGATTTTACACAATCCTGGCCTCTAGAACTCGAGGGGATGCACTTCTATTTTCTACCATCAAGTCTGTGGTAATTTGTTTTGACAACCTAGAAAACTAACATACACGTCTCCCCTCTCCCCAGGTTAGCGTTACTTTCATAGCTTAGCCTTTTCTTCTTCTTCTTCATCTTTTTTCACAAGACACCGGAGAAAGGGGACAGAAAACAGGTTACCTGGCTAAATACGGGTATCATCATCCTCAGGCACTGATTCCGTTTTTCCTCTAGAAGTTTCTGCTTCTCGGTCCAGATATGCATCACCTTTTTCTGATAGTCATCAATCCTGCTCAGCATGACATAGAGGTTCTTGGTCTCATAACCTCTCCCCGTATTCTGGATGGCTTTTACTCGACGAATTATGTTGTTTCTTGGAAAAAAATTAACAAGAATTAGATTGATATAGGTGCTGAGCCTATATTTTTTCAATTCTCACACCATCTCTTGCAAGTGATGCAACAGGAGGCTATTTTTTTTTAACAAGACCTTAATCTACTGTTCTATTTGAATGAACTTTGAATAGTCTATATGGGTATGGAAGTTTCATTAACTCTTCATTTCTTTTTAACATTAAAAAATATTGCTTATTAAAAAAGTATTGATTATTATTTCAATGTATTAAAATGCATAATTATAATAAAATTACCTTAAAGGACAAAATACTTGATTTGTAAAATAGCAATAGGAGGGGCTGGCATTGTGGCATGGTGGGTAAAGCCACTGCCTATGATGCCAGCATTCCATATGGGCACCAGGTCATGTCCTGGCTGCTCCACTTCCTATCCAGTTCAAAGATAACAACCTGGGAAAAGCAGCAGAGGATGGCCCAACTTTTCAAAATCTATTTTCATTTTATTTGAAAGACAGAGACAGAGATCTTCCATCCACAAACATTCTCCCCAAATGCCCAAAGCAAGCATAGACGGACCAGGCCAAAGCCATGAGCCAAGAGGAATTCAGTCCAGGTCTCCCACTTGGTTAGTGGGGACCCAAGCACTTAGGTGTCTTACCTGTGTGTCAGATGCCCATTCCAACAGAGGTTTAAAGGGAAGTATCAAATAGAATATTGAAGAAGAGTCGTAATTCTTTCTCTATGCCTCTTCTCTCTCTCTCTCTTTCTGGGAAAGGAATCTCAACAAAATTAACTGATTTTTCTGAAGTTCTATGTTTAATAAATAGCAAAATTGAGATCCAGATCTTTCTTTCCATAATGCCAATATGAGGATTTCCCAATATGTGGACCCTGATCACCTGAACTGAAGCATTTTAGGTGCTTGTTTTTTGTTTGTTTTTAAGATTTATTTACTTGAAAGAGTTACACGCAAAAAGAAGGAAAGGCAGAGAGAGAGGGAGAGAGGTGTCTTCCCTCTGCTGGTTCAATCCCCAGCTGGCCGAAACAGCCGGAGCTATACCGATCTGAAGCCAGGAGCCAGGAGCTTCTTCCGGGTCTCCCACATGGGTGTAGGGGCCTAAGCTCTTGGGCCATCTTCTACTGCTTTCCCAGGCTGTAGCAGAGAGCTGGATCAGAAGAGGAGCAGCCGGGATTCAACCCGGTGCCCATATGAGATGCCAGTACTGCAGGCGGCAGCTTTACCCGCTACACCATAGCGCTGGCCCTGAGGTGCTTGTTTAAAGCTTTGCAGGTGCTTCCCTAGACCTTTTGAATCAATACCTTGGTGGCAGGAATCTACATTTTAAACAAAATCTCAAGTAAATCTTACCAAAGTTTGAAAACTGTTATGCTAACCAACAGAACAATGAAGAAGAAGATGAAGCATTTCAGGTTGAAAGAATACTGTAAACAGGCAGAAAATGATAGTTATATTTTGGGAGTGTTGAGTAGTCTGGGAGATCACAGGTGTATGAAGGGATGTGACAAGATGTAGTGGAAGAAGGGGACTAAAACAGAGGGATTATTAAAGGCCTTAAAACATGTGTTAATGAATTTGGATTTTATTCTATAGGTGATACAGACCATCAAAGATATTTTTCTCAATATATATAAATTTTCAAATCCATGCATAGATTTTTCATAATATGCATTTTTCCCATGACTTTTTGAAAACTTTTCATATCCATGAACTTCAAAAATTTTTTTGGCACCAAAAGGAGCTTATAACACAATTTCCTGTTAACTTTTTGAAGTACCTTTGTGGTGTGTGTGTGTGTGTGTGTAATATGTTTTCTTAGGTGAATTCATAAGATTTACCTGAAAATTTGTTTGAAAAATTTTCTATCTGCCTACTATCTATACCTACCTCTTTCTATCTATACCTACCTACCTACCTAGGGAGTATAACTCAGCTCTTATGCCTCTTTTGTGAGTGGTTATAATTAATGCTTTGGAATCTATTGTACATGTAAGCTTAAATATGTTTTTTTTTTAATTTTCCAGTAAACCTCTATTTCAAACCCAAACTTTCCTATCATTTTCTATTTACTACATATTATTTTGAGACTTCACCATATTTTTTCCTTATTGAAATGATATTTCACTAGTTGGAAACATTTAGTTTCATTTCAGTCTTAGGAATTTTGCTCTTCATAGATCTTTAGAGATAATTCATTTTAATACTTTTAATACTCAGTTCAGGAATAACTATGGGGTATCTCATTATTTAAAAATCTGTATCTAGAAACATGGCTATTTATCCTCCTTACCTTTTGTTTTCTACTCTGTGTCATTTATACTGATAAAATATTGCTCTCATCCTAGGGGTTTTTTTATATGGACAATATTTTGCATTTAGTGAGTGTCTGCTATGAGTCAGACATTATGCTAGAAACTTCACATATCTTGGACGGCACCGCGGCTCACTAGGCTAATCCTCCACCTTGCGGCGCCAGCACACTGGGTTCTAGTCCCAGTCGGGGCGCTGGATTCTGTCCCGGTTGCCCCCTTCCAGGCCAGCTCTCTGCTGTGGCCAGGGAGTGCAGTGGAGGATGGCCCAAATACTTGGGCCCTGCACCCCATGGGAGACCAGGATAAGTACCTGGCTCTTGCCATCGGATCAGTGCAGTGCCCCGGCCGCAGCATGCCGGCCGCAGCGGCCATTGGAGGGTGAACCACCGACAAAGGAAGACCTTTCTCTCTGTCTCTCTCTCTCACTGTCCACTCTGCTTGGCAAAAATTAAAAAAAAAGGAAACTCGAAGAATTACATAAGATATGTACCCTGACAAACTCTAGTTGCACCTGGCTCCTGCCTTCGGATCACCCGGGGTGCTGGCACTGCAGGCGGAGGATTAGCCTATTGAGCCGCGGCGCTGGCCAAGTATTCTTTTCTTTTTAAAGACTTATTTATTTGAAATACAGAGTTAAGGGGTGGGGGGGAACAGAGAGAGAGAGAGAGAGAGAGGTCTTTCATCTGTTGTTTCACTCCCCAAATGGCTGCAATGGCAGGAAATGAGCCAATACAAAGCCAGGAGTCAGGAGGGTCTTCCGGGCTCCCATGCGGGTGCAGAGACCCAGTACTTGGGCCATCTTCCACTGCTTTCCTAGGCCATAACCAGAGAGCTGTACTGGAAGAGAAGCAGCTGAGATATGGTGCTTGCAGGCTGGGCTTTAACCTGCTGTGCACAGCACCAGCCCCTCCAGCATTTTAAAAATATTATTATATCCAGGGCTGGCGCCGCAGCTCAATAGGCTAATCCTCCACCTAGCGGCGACGGCACACCAGGTTCTAGTCCCGATCGGGGCGCCGGATTCTGTCCCGGTTGCCCCTCTTCCAGGCCAGCTCTCTGTTGTAGCCTGGGAGTGCAGTGGAGGATGGCCCAAGTGCTTGGGCCCTGCACCCCATGGGAGACCAGGAGAAGCACCTGGCTCCTGCCTTCGGATCAGCGCCGTGCGCCAGTCCTACCGGCGGCCATTGGAGGGTGAACCAATGGCAAAGGAAGACCTTTCTCTCTCTCTCTCTCACTGACCACTCTGCCTGTAAAAAAAAAAAAAAAAAATTATATCCATTTTGTAATCAGCACATTTGCATTTCAGAGAGGTTCAGAACTGGACATTTCAAAGTGTATGTTTAAGAGAAAGCATGATTAAGATTTCAACATAAAACTATTATGGTTTCCTACTTCAAGGCAATGTAATATAATATGTAGTATAGCATGGTATTACCTTTGGAAATGAGTTTTAAAAATTCAGTTCTATCATTTACTGTGACTTTGCCAAATAGGATGAACTTTGTGAACCTCATTCCTCATAGACAAGGTGAGTACAATAATGTATCTAAAGCCCCTGTTCCTTGTAGTGCTCTCCCAGGTGGGGAGCAGGAACTGAATTACTTGAGTCATCACCAGTGCCTCCCAGGGTGCACATTAGCAGGAAGGTGGAGTTAGGAGCCAGAGCCAGGTATTGAGCCCGGGGAACCCCAATATGGGATGCTAACCCCAATATGTTGCTAGGCTAAATGCCCACCCCACCTAAAAAATTCATATTTCTTTAACCTATCAGTTTTTGCTGTTTCAAGAGAACAGTGATTCTACTTTTTAATTAGATTCTACAACATTTCCCTTTTTAAGTAAGAGTTAAAATGTTGAGATACTGCCATGGCATAGGATCCTTGAAGACAACAGGAAATACGTGACTAGTAATCTCATTCTTACTGTCATATTCCTTCAAAAGGTTTGGGTGGATGCCCTCTGGTCCTAACTTAAGCCCTTGCAGAAACTTCACTCCGCTTAAATCTGCTCCAGGTGAATGACATTTTACTTCCTTTGCTAAGAATTCTTCAGTTATACTCTGTTATGTACAGAATGAATTACATGTTCCTTCCCATGGTAGTTAGGATTCTCTTTGGTCTGACCTCTTCCCAGTCTTGTCACTTGCCACACTTAGCTGCTTTTTCCTGTCCTACCAGCAAAAGTAGTTTACACCTTCACACCTACATACACACACACACACACACACACACACACACTCTGCTTCTTCTTGCTACCTTTCTTTGCTCTGCTATACCATGACCTCTGTAAGACTGTCTTCTGCTGGTCCAGACTCCAAGAAACTCTACCATTTCCTCAGCCCACTTCTATATATTTTGTGTATTTGCCATCATTGTTCTTTGCATGTCATATTCTATAATCATCTCTATGTATTACTGTCTTTCGGAGTAGACTTTGGTGCCTTGTCCAAAGGCAGGCATATGAGTTATCCATCTTTGTATCCTTCTGTCCTTTGCCCCTTTGTATTAACACCATCTCCACAAGTAGTGGATATTCAAAACATATTGAGGAACTTAAATATCTTTTTCAATCACTACAATATTTAGTACTTTTGAGGACTTTATTCAATATATATGATAATGAAATGTCTCACTATCATCTGATCTTAGTTTACATTTTCCCATTCATCCCCTTTTAGATATATTTCA